TATATTATATGATATATTATATTAATTAGCAACAATATGAATACATAAATATAAAATAATAAATATAAAGAATAATAATAAAATAAAAATAATTTTATTGATATATTTACACATCGAAATAAAAAATCATAATTTAAAAAAAATAGAAATTAATTTTATTTAACTAATAGGAAACAAAGACTCATAACGGATCTTTAATAATTAGATGTTCCATATAAATATGTATATACATTATTATACTATAAGTATATTTATAATTATTTGAACTGCGCGCCGAATTAATTTTTTTACTAATTATTTACTATAGAGGATTATATCCTCCTTGACTTTGACATATGTTGTCAAAATTATGACTCCAAGTGACCTTGGATAAATTTCAACCGTCGCTCGTTATTCCTTAAAAAGTTATTAACAAACAAAGTTCATCAATAAAACTTAACTTTTGGACTGCGCTTTGATGAAATAAATTACTTTTACAGCGCAAAATATTTTCTTATATAATTTCTTATATAATTTGTCTTATATGATTTTTATCTCATCGATTTCGACAATAATTCATTCTCCGTCAATTTTATTTTAATTGTTTATTAACCATTGATGAGCTGAGAGACCAGATTGTTATAATTGAATATTTATTAAAGTAGAAAATTTTTAAATAAGAGAGAGTATACAAGTTTTCTGTTTCAAAAATACAAATATTTTACTTCAAAAACACAAATTTCCTGCTTGACAAACAATTGGCGTTCTTCATTTATACAGTTTTACCAAGTTATTAATTAAATTACATGAATTACTCTCTTTGCAAAAGTTAGTCCAGTCAATTGCTGTGTGTGATGAAATATTTTATGCTTTTTTAGTTTAGATGCGTTTCTAAGTTTAAACAAATTAATTCAGCGCAGTTTTAAACATATTAAATGAAAAAATATTATACACATTAAATAATAAAATATTATACACAAAACGTTGAGGTTTTTTAAAACGTTTTATAGTTTGTCCTACAAAATCATTGATATGAATTTATGTTGTGTGTTACACTGCACATAACACAACTGATTGATGTGGCATTTATGTATTCATTCAATTTCATATTTGGCATTTATAATACAACTGAATGCAAATTCTATACTGTTATCAAAGATCAAATATCAACAAAATATTCATGCTGAACATGTTCTACGAGATTATGCTCTCATTAACCATAGTGCTGTCTAACTGGTTTCTTTAACTAATTCATAACGAGAAGAAACATGAACATTGCAAATATATTACTTGTTATTTTATTACTTCTGCTAGTAAGTAACATCTCTTAATGTGTTTTATTTTCCTACATTATTTTAAAAACTTTTTTTAATGTTGCAAAAATTCAATAAATGTTTATAGTAAAATGTTTTAGTAAAATAATTTTATTGTATAAATTAAATACAGTTACTGCGAACTCTAAAATTAAAACATAAATATAACATACAGTAACTTAGTGTTAAATTTATATATATTTTAATTTTAATGTGTAATAATAAAAATTATGTTTACAATTTCAATATATGTTTAAATCTTTAATATATGTAATACAATTATATTAAAGTTGTTTTTCATTTTGTGTGCATATTGGAACACGAGCGGACATTAAACGAGAGTGTCGCAAACAAACCAATGTTTCTTGGGGTATGGAAATATTTTATATTACACTTTCACATTGTAAAAGACACATTTATTTTTCTTAATTGGTTCTTCTTGATGGCTTCTTTGATTTAGCATCTTTAAAGCAACTAAAAGCCGGTAACATTGAACAACATGATATTAAATTAAAATGTTATTTAAAATGCTTTCTGGCAAAAAACGGTATTCTTAATGAGAATAACAGTATAGATGTTGAGAAAGTCTTACGTCATCTCCCGCGCAATTTACAAGAGTCATCGAGAAAAATTCTTCATCGATGCAAATCAATTCGTAAGTCTTCTTCTTTATTTAGCTACTTTGTTGTATAACAAGGTCAATCTGTATAATTATTTTACAATTTTTTAAATGTATAATATTTATATTTTATATTTTCTTATCTTTTTATACAAAATGTAATGACACGATAGGTATCATTAAAAATTTGAAAAATGAAAATTGATATTAATAAATTAATGGAAAAATTAATTTTTAGAATCGGAGAATGCTTGTGATAAAGCTTTTCAAATAGCTACATGTTATATTAAAGGGCAACCTGACGTATGTATTACAATAATACAAATTTATTATTATTATTAAATACTTACCACAGAATTCTGTTTGCAGATTTTAAAAATCGTATCATTTGTTTAAAGATAAATGCTTTGAGTTTAGATATATATATAAATCATTGCATTATGAAAGATATAAAGGGATAGCAACATGAAGTAGTTGTATATGTAAAAACGCGCTATTTTATTAAATCACATTACTTTATTTAAAAAATACATTTTATATAAGATAACTATATTTTATTATAATTTGTCATTTTTTAAAAGAAAATGTATAAAAATGGTTTAAAATATACATACTATACATATATATAATAATATATATTTGTATATGTAAATGTTTATGTATATATGTACATATATAAATACAAATATAATTATATTAATTATATTTACATATATATGTAAGTACCCCATAAAAGTATTATATTAAAAATTAATTTGTATTTTATAAACAATATTAAGAATCTTTATTTTAGATCGCATATGTGAGAAACACAATCAATACTAAAAATTTAAAATGCCTATTACGATTGAAGCTGGATCTTTATTGCTTTAAATAATTCAGTCTTGAATTACTAATAGACATTATATATATCATATTGTAGTCTTTTCGAACTGCGCTATTTTTTCTAGTATTTCTAGTATTGATTGTGTTTGTGTTTTATAGTCTTCACTAAAATATCATTTTGATACACATAATTTTTATGTAAAGATTACATATACTTTATTTTCCATTATTATATCAAGTATTTCAAACAAATTAAGACTGTGACATACACACATACAAATGTGTCAACTATATGTTAACAAATTATATTAAAAAATTATTTCTACATTATAAACGTGACACATTTTGTATTTGTAAAGCATTCTAAAAAAAAGATGTCAATAAAGAAAAAGATGAACGAGACCATGGTAACGCGTAATATTTGTTTGTAATTCACGTCATGTCTAAAATTTCAAAGTTACACATTTTGCCAAAATTTTAGGATTTTTTTTTTTTTTTTTTTTTTTAAGGATAAAAGATTAAAGTTCGTATGTCGTAAGATCGTAAAAACTTATCATGTGTGATCATTGTGCGTAAGTAATCTTTTTATTACGTCACATAATGTAATTTTTCTCTTATAAAGTTTTTGTTTCTTGAAGTAATATTATGGATACATATGTATGTATATAAAAAACTGCTATATATAAGGATATATATATGCACACATGTATATATGCGAAAAATGTTGGTGTTATCTTTTATAGCAAAATTATCGGTCAAAAAAAATATGCTGGACAAGTAACCTGTCGATGCAAGTAAGTTTTCATACTTATTTATAAATTCATAAATACATTTGCGTGTATATAGATTATGTATGTGTCATGTATCATACATTATGTTTGAGCAGTGACGCGAAAAAGAGTGTTGTGGTCAGTAAGGAAAAAGACTTCACTGGATGTTGCAGCAAAAAGTAAAAATTACAATAATAAAAATAAGGAAAGAAAGAATAAAAATAAAAATTAATTAATTAAAAAATAAGAAAAGTTATTTTTAAACCTATATGGTCGCCTGACTCCATAATAATGATTGTACAAGCAGTGCAACATTCCCAGAAATTTTTAATAATTCGATAATTATTATAACTCGACTAAATATATACATAGAGAAAAAAAGACAGGATGTTGTGGTGCCAAATGTTGCTCGGGCACGAAAGAAGAAGGCGGATGTTGTAGCGATGCCACTACGGATCAAAAGAGCTGCTGTCCAGTAGAAAAGTAATCTGCCAACACAATGGTCCTGCTTGACGACAAGGTTAAAAAGGCGGCCATATGGGCTATTTTAAATGAATTCATTAATTCATCTTTTTTGTCACATGCATAATTTAATTTATTATTGTAAATTCTCCAAATAAAAAATACTTATTAAATGTTTATTTTAATATATTTTTTATTATATTTTATATATATTAATTATTGTTATTACTACATTTTTTATAATTCAGATCGATATTTAAAATGTTATTACTATGCTTTTTCTTAGAGCGAGAGAAGCGGCTGGAGGTTGCTGTTTGTCTGGTTGTTGCAAACAAATCGAAAATAAAAAAAGAGACTCGGCAGATGCGAATCGCTCCACGCAGATGAAAAATTCTACAGAAAGATGCTGTGAAAATAGAAAATAACTTTAGAAGAGACACTTGTGTAATAAATTCTAATCTAAAAGCTTTAAATATTTTCTGCTCACATCTCTATTCTATATAACATACATTGCGCGCAATCTACAATATTTGGATAATAAAACTTAAATCCTTGTAAAATCAATTTGTTATTTATAAATTCGAAATTACGCTATAAATTCATAAAGCTTATTAATTCTATTTTAATTACTATGCAAAATACGAGCTGCTGTTTGTGTACCGATTTATATATTGTAAATATTCTTTGTGCTCTTCAATCAATTGTCAGTATAATCGGGGTTAATATTAAAACTCCATCGTAACAATTTGCAAGTATATATTCCTTTATTATGAATCCTATCCTATTAGGCTTTATAATGATTGTGAAACAAAATTAATATGCTAAATTTTATATACATACATTATTAATATTAATGACCGACAAATGTAAAAGATATATATACAAATCATATATAATTAATTAAAAGAATATATAAAAACTGTTTCAGTTTAAAAATGATTAAAATCACTATGGATAGACAATAGAATATTTTTTCTAACTCAATTACAAATTATTTTCCTACCTTGTGGGAGCCTGTGAACAAAAATATTCAAACCGTAGGATGCGTCGAAGAATATAGATTATAATCGTACGTGTGACCCGCGTTAGCCAGAGCAGATTTAGAAAATAGCATCTAAGTAAAAAATAAGACTGAAAAAAACTAAAACTAAAAAACCGGCGTACTTTGGTGACGTCACACGTAGGAAAAATCTGCGTCATATCTGGTGGATATCCGTGACGCACGTGCAAGAAACAGGGGTGCTTCGAGCAAAAGTTGATAAGGGCGAAAGTGCGTGTGTGTGTGCGCTCGGGGGTGATGCAGCTTGACGCGGCTCGGTGCGGCGCGCAAGCGCGACGGTTGCAGAGCTTTCGAGCCACGCGATGGTAGCAGTTGGCCTTCTAAAACCGCGAAACACGTCCCGCGTTCTCTCGAAGGAAGAGGAGTATCCGCGAGGATAAGCCCACGTTTTTTTCTTCCCCCGTTTAAAGTGTACGTTCGTGCGCGTTATTAGAGAAAGAATCGGAAGACGTCCCCGATCGTCGTCTATCGTGATCGTCCTTTCTCGCTTCTTGCGTTCGATTTCATTTGACACTGACACCCAACACACGTACCAAATCACGGTAAATACCAACAACACCCTCGTCGTCTGTGTCTCGAACGTCATGACATCGTGCATCATTTTATCGCGATCGAACGCTGGCGATCAGGAAAGACCCTGACCTTGAAAGTCCACGTGCAAACGTCAGATTAGAGGATAATTAACACGCGTTAACCAACGACAATGCGTTAATGGAGAACAACCGCGGTACCCGCGTATTTTCTTCATCGGAAAAATATATAACGATTAGTTCGTAATAATATACAAATGATAACGGTACGTACCGTCTCACGATATGATTTTTATTTAATATATACAGTTTCATTGTTACCGCTACTTTCACTGGTTTTTTCCTCGTTTTCAAAATGCTTTTCTTCCGTTCAAAAAACACATTGAACAAGATACTCTTGTTCCGTTACAAACATTAGAAGCATTTATATCTACATAATATTATGTATCGCTTGCTTAACTGAAAAAGCTCCCCATCCATTATATTAACATATAGATATCGCTGCAGGATTCTATATTAAATGAAAAAGTAGTTAGAAATTTTGAAAGTTTAAATTTCTTTTATTAATATTTAAGAAGAAACAGGCCTGTTACGTGCGCATAATTATTATTCATCATCATTATATTTTGCTCTAATTTTTTTAATTTACCCTCAAAAATCAAGCATTGTTTCAGATAAAATTCGACCAAATATGGAAATATTCGTTAAGTTGCCACAAAATCTTATCAATATTAATTTGAAAGTTCTATCACTTTTGTTGTTCTTTTAATACATTGTTTAAACTTTTTGTATAGAAAAATATTTTACATGTAAGATAATGCATTGTGTGGAAAAAATTATTCATTCGAGATGATACATGGTAGTACGCTTTGAAATACATGGCATGTAGATACACAGCGGATGAAGTTGATCGCACCAATGTATATACATAACAGACACTTTAAGCATTAATACTAGCGACTATACCTTGTTTATCATTTTATTTTTAAAGGTTATTTTTAAAGGTTATTTAACTTTTTCTTATTTCTTTACTCAAATACTGTTTTAATTTTTAATGTCCAACACGCATCAGTTGCTGCAGAAAATATCCTGTAATGTTTTAATTGTTTAAGAAGAGACATTTGTGTGTACATCGATACAATGGCAATAGCGAAAAATGATGGCAAATGAAATGTCGATTGATGAGACAGAATTATTGAAGATTGAAAATTTATTGAAAGAATATTCGCTATTTATGTCAGTCAAAAACTATCGCATCAATTGTCATTTCTCATCAAATAGACTAATGGAAATAAATTGCAATGTAAAATTCTGTACAAACGAAATATAATTATGTTTTCATTTTCGTGGAAAAAAATATATTTGCCAAAATTAGATTTATATTCTAATTAAAAAATTTTTAAATCAATATCAATGCGACATCAAATCGTACATAATTACTGCACATATTCGCGTTCTAATAAATCGCACTGTAGAATTCTCAAGTTAAATCGTATATCTCTAATCACGTGAAGATATGTAAAAAAACGAGAATTATTTATACATTTATGATGAAAGGAATAGAAATATATAGGTAAATTTTTTAGAATGTTTCTCTTATTTATCGCATTATTAATTCTTAAATTCGTAAATAAATGCAAACACAAAATTAAGAATATTCCGATCAAGTATTTGAAGGTATTAATCTTGTAATATCTGTAAAATTTAGAAAAAAAATACGCGATACTGATCATCCCGTATGTCGGGATGCAATTTATCTTTGCTTCGTTATTAAAATAAATTAGTTTAAACATAATTACCGATCTTTTTAAACAAGCAAACATTTTTACTAAAAGACATAGATACTGAATCTTACAAATGTAAAATGAATGAATGTCTAGAGAGTTACAAATGACAATGATAATAGACCATTCACACTCACGGATTTCCGGCTTACATGATTATCGTTTGACCAATCTTAGGCAATTTTGCAATTGGCTGCGACGGGAATCACAAACGCGAATGTGATATCAAGCCTTGTAATACAAATTTCTCCTTCCTCCTATTCTACGAAGTTAATTTATATTATAATGTATGTTATTAATCGCGAATAAAAGAGGCAGAGGAAAAGAGAGAAATTGAAAATTAATATAGACACATCAAATAAATTATAACAGAATATTCATTACCCAACATTGTATATATATACTTGTTTTTATTTTTTTATATTCTTTGTAAATTATTATGTGTGATAGATTATGTTATTTTTTGTTTTTACTATATATAATTATATAGTTTCATTAATTTTTCGATAACGAAATTATGTGACAATAAACATTACGTTTTATTATTTAAGTGTATTTGAGACCACAAATTGATTGGAAATTAATGTGAAAACAATTTAAAATAATATTATTTTTATTGTTTAGTATAGGAATTTTTGCAAAATATTTATATATTGTATTATTCTCTCCATTTTTCCGTTCAATTTTTCGCTCTCCTGCTCTTGATATTCTCTATTATTCTTTCGATCAGTTACGTAAGTTATCTCTACTCCTTCTTGATCCTTTTATCGCAATTCTGTAAGTTCCTAAGGAAACAAGGAAAGAGATCACATAGATCTAACTCAACTCTCGTCGAGAAACATGATATAAGAATTACTTTCTTAAGAAATACATTCTTCATTACAAATACGTGGTTATAGAGGTCATTTAACATTGTATTCAACAAATTCTTATTTTAAATTTGTGTTTCCATAGTATTTATTATATTTATACATAAATAAGAGAAACAGACTTTTTGAATGTAGAGAAAAGGCCCCTATTATGAGATAGTTCATTTTGGGTAAATGCTAAAAATCTATAGGCAGAATTTAAAAAAAAATAATAAGTCATTTTGAAGAGAATTTAATAAGCTTTAAGATAACGTTACATAAAATTTAATTCAAATTCCATTTTTTTTTTAATTAAAGAAATGTAAAAAGCAAGCAAATCGCAAAGTTAAAAAATTGTGCTCCTAATATGAGATGCCCCGATAGTAAAACGTAAAGTTATCAGTATTGCAATTAAAAAAGCTTTATTTAATGTTTCTAAAATACAAACAAACACAGCCAGCGTGCGCGAAAAATGAGCGATAGATTATACCCAGAACTCGTTTTCAAGTAGTTGGAATCAAACATCGCCGATATAAGCACTCGACATTCATTCCGGTTGTCTTTTTTATTATTGTACAATAACATTTATATTTTAGCTATGATTTTCACTATAATATAGGATAGATGGATATTTCATATTAGGAATACCATAGGTATCTCATATTACGATTTCCATGCCTTATGGTTTTACGATCATAAAATCTAACTTCTGTAATTAAACAATTCAACATATCCCGTATTTTTCTATTAGTACGACCTTACTCTATCGCTACATGAAGAATTTATTGGCAAATATTTATTTATTAAATAATAAACAAGGTTTAAATGCTCATCTCAATGAATCTTGAGGACATCCAAATTCTAAAATCTTGATGATCTAATAATAAATTTTACTAAATAGTTTCCAATCCAAGAGCAATAAATTCATAGTGGAACTATTAGATAGTGTTTATTAGTTTAGCAGAAACGCTATCTCTTAGGCGCCTATTCTATAATAAGGGGCTTTCCTCTATAATACGTCTTCCATTTATTAATAAAATTTGAAATATTGTTAAAGTAGGAAAGATAAATCCTTAAATTTACGAGAACATTTTAAAATTATCTGCTTCTAATTTGTTATTCGTGCAAACACTTTTTAAAAAGTGTATAAATATTTAGTATTTTGAGACTTGAGGACACTTCAAAGGAGCAGATATTTTTGATTCGCCGTTCCAGAAAAATGTTTTCTTCATTAATGAATTGGCCGTTCTGGAAAACTAACTTTTTTTATAGTACTATGTACATATCGATCGCCATTGGTACTATTCATCCGTGACCAAGTTCAACGGCGGCCTTCTTCAACATAGAAGGGGGTTCTACATGTAAGATCGAGTATATGTACATTACACTGCTGAAACTAGGGAGGCCACGAGGAGGACGCGAGGGTGCGGGGTCAAAGATGATCGTGATAATCACTCAACGATGAACATCCATAAATAGCCATAGTCGGTGAGCAGTTTATAGACAGTTAACGCTGAAAGAGAATGTCGAAGCGCGCTCTTTGAAACTGATTGTTCACGTACGGCATGAGCGAGCCTAATACTAATAATTTTAGTTTATTATAATAATTTGATGTTAATAGTATGTCATATATTACTTTCATTTCCGACATAACAAAAGGCATGTTTTAATAAATTTAACAAACTTAACAGCATTTTTCGAAAATTGACTTAATATTGATTAAAAATAGATAATTTCTTTCTATAAGTTTTTATTTATCTCTATAAACTCGATATTCAAAAGATAGAAGCAATTTTAGAAAAAAATTTGAGACTCATATGCAAAATATGATGACACAGCGTGATGGCTTTAATATTACTCCAAAAAAAAAAGTAGTACGTCAAAGGAAAGTTCATCGTGTCTCTGGTACACAAAAGAGTCGCCAATGATGATCAATAAAATAACCGAAGAAATATCACATAAAAGATTGCTTTAAATTATATTAATGTATCTTTAATCTCTCTCATTAATCTGCATTAAACTGCGATTGCAGTCGCAACGCGGGAGAATAAGACTATCTCTAGTCACTGAATATAGCCACTATTAACCCGGATCCTGTATTAGGATATATACAGATAAAACAGAATCTAAGCGCAAACCTAGCTAAACTACACTATTATTGGTTTAACTTTACTGAAATGCTTTGATCAAACAGCGATAAATATTTGCGAATAGCTTAATTTAACCCCTGTTCTCTCTTATTTGGACGCAGAAATATGAATCTTTTTTATATTCTATCACATCCTATTCAGCACTTTACAACTTTATTTCAAGTTTAGACAGTATGATGAAAAAGTATTCTTAAAATGAAATTTACTATATTTAGACATTCAGAAAATATTAAGTTACTACTGCTTGGATCACAATATTGATTTTATTACTTTTACATGTATTTTATTACTTAATTTTCACAACACATTACATACAACACAATACATGAATTTTATGTCTAGAAAATATTTTGTTGGTATCGTACAATCTATAATTATATATCATTTATGCATAGGTAACAGTCTGTTTCTGTAAAATTATTGTCGTCATTTTTATACTTCCGATATCTTTCGAATAACCTAATCGAATTGTCAGAGTGCATACGTATGTGTATTACGTTCTATAAAAATGCCAACTGTAAAGCATTTGAAAAAAATTCAGATTGATTTTTACATTTATATTAAAAATTTCTAATATCAAAAATTTTTATTAAAGTGCACAAGTAATTAGAATTAGATTTGGATTATAAAAAAACTTATTTTGGAAGAAGGAAACAGGAAGATCTCTAATTGTAAGGAACTTTCTGTTAAAAGAAAAGCATTTGTTAAACAGACCGCGATCATTACAATATAACATAAGCGAAATTGCTTAATTTACCTTTTTTGTTTCTTCATCGGTAATCTATTTTAAAGGACGAACTTTTATGAGCTTATTTGCTTGTTTCAGATATTTGAAAGAATGATAATCCTAATCGAATGAAAATACTGAAGAAATAGGAGAAATCTAAACTTTTGACTCTTGATTATGCCTATGTGATGATTGTGTTCTATACTTTACTGTCGTACTTTAGTATCGCGGCTGAAAAGGACACGTTGTGCCAAATGTTCTTTCATCAGATAGATACATGATAAATATGTTGGCAAAGTTTAACCAAGCTTTATAAGATACAATCAAATCATACAATGACAACTTAGCAAATGTAAAATACAACAGCAACCTTATTAAGAATTGTAATGACTCGAAATATCTTAGCGAGACGAGATGAGAGGACAGACGAAAATGAGAGATCTCGCAAATGTATACGCAATGCTAATGCCCTGACGTTTAGTCGTCTAGGGAAAATTAAGAGGATCAAGATCCTTGGACAATCGCACGTCAGGGTGATTATGGTCGAAAAACCGTCGTAGTAGTACGGCTGCGCACGGTAAAACATGAATGACAGCGAGATCTATCTATTGAACTGGGAAGAAGAGGTACATGCATTAAACAACGATCTTGATAGAAGCTTTTATAACGCGAACTATCCGTCGTTTAATCATACCTATGAGGATCTCTGGGAACTCGCTACGGATCGAATCGGTCTCGCGATCGTTTTATTACTCTTCTCCGTAGCTACCGTTTTCGGCAACTCGTTAGTGATTCTCGCGGTATTCCGAGAGAGGCATCTGCACACAGCTACGAACTACTTTGTGACTTCACTGGCTTGCGCCGATTGCCTGGTAGGACTGGTAGTGATGCCAATTAGCGCGGTATACGAGGTATTGGAGAACCGTTGGCTGTTCACGACGGACTGGTGTGACGTTTGGCGCTCGCTCGATGTTCTTTTCTCCACCGCGTCCATTCTAAACCTGTGCGTTATTAGCCTAGATCGCTACTGGGCGATTACCGATCCCTTTACGTATCCGACTCGAATGAGTAGGAAACGCGCCGCGATCCTAATCGCCATCGTATGGATTTGTTCGAGTGCGATCTCCTTTCCTGCGATAGCGTGGTGGCGTGCCGTTCGTACTGAGCAAGTGCCCGCAGACAAGTGTCCCTTCACGGAGAATCTCGGTTACCTGATATTCTCGTCGACAATCAGTTTTTACCTACCGCTATTCGTGATGGTATTCACGTATTACAGAATCTATCGCGCCGCCGTGATACAGACGAGGAGTCTAAAACTCGGCACGAAGCAGGTGATGATGGCCTCGGGCGAGCTCGAACTCACGTTGAGGATACATCGGGGCGGTACAACCACCAACACCGACGCTAGACATCTTTTTCGCACCGCCTCGAGCACACCCGAAGATCTGCAAGATCTCGAGGAACCGTTAACAGCTCTTCACAACAATGGTCTCACTAGAGTACCCTCCGCGAGGATCAGCAATAAACAACACCTAGGAAAAAATTTCTCTCTCTCGCGTAAACTCGCCAAGTTCGCCAAAGAGAAAAAGGCGGCGAAGACCCTTGGTATCGTTATGGGGGTATTTATTATTTGCTGGCTACCGTTCTTCGTTGTGAATCTATGGTCGGGATTCTGCACGAGGTGCATATGGCAAGAAGAAATCGTATCTGCGGCCGTCACTTGGCTTGGCTGGATTAACAGCGGAATGAACCCCGTAATATACGCTTGCTGGAGCAGAGATTTTCGTAGGTGAGTGTTTTTGTGCATCGTTAATTATTTTTTTCAAAATCAGAATTAACATTTCCAAAGTCGAATCGAAATTATTCTTTTTGCATGCTCCGTTCCATTCTTATTTTTCACATTAACGCAATTATTAACGTACCATAATAATAATTCATTGTATCTTTTTAATTAATTATATCAAGTATGTTGTACATGACCGACGTCATTATATCAGAGTTCTGCGTATGTCGAAAATGTTCTGTTACAAATGAACAAATTCGTACCTACGATACCGAGCAAGTATATCCATCTCTTTAATAATAGATACTGCAGCTAATGTGATAGATCAGATAGACATACATACATCATCAGATTTACCATTATCTTCGTTTGTTCCGCGTCTACGTACATACTGTACACAACAAATATAATGCGCAATAGTACTAGAATATTAACGTGCTTACATGTCACTATCACGCACCGATTTATGAGCGCGGGATGTAGTTTACAATCAATCATCACGTTCTGACGTTACTCGACATCACCAAATTGTCACCGTCTATCCTAATACAGATATCTGTTCTATTCTCTACGAGTCGTCGTATCAACCAACCACATAGGATATGCTATCAAGCGGACCATCAACTATGTAGAGGGTAATTTTTTTCAAGGAGAGAAAGAAAACCCGTAAAAGAGGGTACTCGTGAGATTCTAGATCGATTTTAAGTCAACCCTGCGGAGCTATCTCCATTTAAAACATATATATATATAGCCAGGGTATATACAAGGTGTAGGACGTATATACGGTAGGGATTTTCCACGAAGACAGGAAAAGAGAATTTGGCTAGCGGGATTGTGGGTGGATTAGGCGGAGACCCTTTAGCAAATTACTTTTATTCGCCCGCGCGAAATGAACCTGAAGTTTCAGAAACGGTCCGGTATTTTCTTCTCTCTCCTTTACAACCGCTACCAAAAGGTACTCGTGAAAAGCATTTATCATCTTAAATATCTTCTCGACTTAATAGCAGCTACGGCAATTGAGAATTTTCTTTACAGTTTTCTTTCCACCAAGTCTTGTGATATATTATACATAAGCTTTTCCTGAAATAACTCGATATATACATATATTTATAAAACAAAAGGTAAGAAATAGCAAAACGATGAAACTTTCTATCAATCTTGTTTAACTTTTATTCTAGTTAGCAGCAATATTAACGTGTTTATAAAATATTAATACGTGATATGCAATAATAAATTAAAAGAAAAAAAAGTTCAAGTAGAAGAATTTGATAAGTTAATGACAAAGTAGAAAATACAAAAAGAGAAGCTGTCATTGCAGCACATATTATCGAAAGAAATAAATATGTACGTATAACATTTGACAACGTAAATACATTCTTTATATTTTTGGAATAAGAAATTTCGGGAATAAGAAACTATGCTTAGGAAAACAGGATTTCCGCAAGTAGCAAGCAATAGATTAACGCACTGATCTATCGGACCACGTGGACATGTTCGCACGTTAAATCGTGAATCGCGTGCGAAGCAAATTACGCTACTCGATGGGGGCGATGTAACACTGACGTTGAATAGATTTGATACGGTTTGGCTGACGCCAAACGACGTTGTGTACAGCAATCCCACGTGTAACTATCACGCTTCACGGATATTTACTCCATGCATACAGGTAAATGTAAAATCAATAGACCGCGTGCTTTCTTTATGGTATAGAAGGCTGTGAGGACCTATCTTCTAGGTCGTAAAATGGATAGTTCGATCGTTCCAAACAAGCGGATATTAATAAAAGAAACAATTGCGACTTTGTACGTGAAAAGAAGGCGACAATTTTAAAGGACAATGAGCTCAACAATAACAACATCGCAAAACGAAGATGACTCACTGATTTATTTATTGCTTATAGAAAAGTAGCCGTTTTATCCAAACAAAAGAATCCAGAGCAACCTATTGCATTGATCCATATCCTACGTTTCCTGAAACACCTCCGCATTGAGTTAATTATAATCAAGTCGCGTTTAGACAAAGTCTAGATAATCCTTTCTCCAATATCTTTAATGTACAATATGTAAAATTCCAAGTATAGGCAACGCGCGATTACAGCGAATCTTCATTAAGGAATGAACTAGTTATGATAATTAACGATTAATTTTGCCAAAATAACCAATCAGATGCCTGTCAACCGATTATAATATCGCATCTAATAACGTGGAATTAGAGGAAAAATCTCTTTATGAAATAGGCGCCTAATATGAGATAACGGCGTTTCTGCTAATCTAATAAATGCTATCTATTGGTTCCACCATGAATTTATTGCTCTTGGATTGAAAACTATTTAGTAGAAAATTCATTATTAGATTATGCCTGTGGTCATTGTAAAACAAGATGTTAGAATTTGGATGTCTTCAAGTTTCATTGAGATGAGCATTTAAATCTTGTTTATTATTTAATAATTAAATCTTTGCCCATAAATTCTTCATGTAGTGATAGAGTAAGGTCGTACTAATAGAAAAATACGGGATATGTTGAATTGTTTAATTACAGAAATTAGATTTGATCGTAAAACTATAAGGTGGAAATCGTAATATAAGATACCCGGGGTATTCCCGGGGAATATGAAATAATCCATGCTTCTATGTTATAGTGAAAATCGTTGCTAAAGAATTAATGTTACTGTACAATAATAAAAAAGACAATCGGAATGAACGTCGAGTGCCTATATCGGCTTGATTCCAACTACTTGAAAACGAGTTCTGGGTATAAATCTATCGCATGCTCATTTTTCGCGCACAACTGTGTTTGTTTGTATTTTAGAAACATTAAGTAAAGTTTTTTAATTGCAATACTGATATACTTTGCGTTTTACTATTCGATTTCTCGGAGCATCTCATATTAGGAGCACAATTTTTTGACTTTGCTATTTGCTCACTTTTTACATTTCTCTAATTTAAAAAAAAAGAATTTGAATTAAATTTTATGTAACATTATCTTAAAGCTTATTAAATTCTCTTCAAAATGATCTATTATTTTTTTTAATTCTTTCTATAGACTTCTAGCATTCACCCAAAATGAACTCAGTATCTCATAATAAGCCTTTCCTCTACATCTCGGTATTAGCTATAAACTCATAACTTTTTTACATTATTACACCAATTCTAATCCATTACTATTGCACACCCGATAGAATGATATAAAAGTTTGAATTGACTAAATTTTTAACTTGCTGCGTAATTTACTGCGACTTGTTCTCTATCTTGTAGAGGACAATACATTTGCGAGAGTTTCTCATTAAATTAACGAGAAGACCTTTCGAGTATGATGTAATTAAAAGTTTCTACAAGTATACAGAGAGAATGCGAATGTAGGTACACATTCCATTCCGCTTCAGCTAAAATAGATGTGGATTCTTTCGAGACTTTCCATGATGAAACAAAATATAAAAAATAAAAAAATAAAATAAAGAGATTTTGTTCACTGAGATTCAAAACACACACAAGGCACTGAAAAGTTAATTTAAAATATTTAAATTATTCAAGAATTTAAAAATCATAGTGTTATTTAAAAAGATTAAAAATGTACAAATTGGTCGCACTCAAACAAAAGCGACATTACTAGCGGAAAAGTAATCTGCCTCTCCGAATTCGTAAAATCTCAAATTTCACATTTTCAAACTTTTACTTTATATCATATATCGCATGGATTATTTTATCTCTCTGTCAACGCTACTTTGTCTACATTTCTATAAGCTAACATCAAAAAAAGTCTATTGCGTTCCAACAAATAATCTGTGATAAAACATGAAAACGATGCATAAAGACAAGGTTATTACTCTATCATTTTTGTCTATCACTGTATAAAGCTGTATTTATCTACAATATTACATTTTAAACTTATTTTTTCTTTTCACTTTGGCACGTCTGCTTTTTCTTACGCATAGGTAAGAAAACGCTCTTTTTTCTTATGATATGTTTTGTGTGTGTGTGTGTGTGTGTGTGTGTGTGTGTGTGTAAGAGATGAGAAATAGCCATTTAATAAATTTTAACAAAAAATATAATAATATATACATATATTACTATGATAAATTCACATTACTACGTTATACGTGATCAAGATCGATCGATTAAATCAAAATGAATTGCAATGTGCAATATCAAGGTTGAAGAAAAGTTTAATAAAACTGTCGACACATTAAAAAAACAATACATATTGAAAAAAGATACAAATCAGAGTTTATTTAGATTTAAAAGAAAGAAAAAAGGAAAAAGAAGAAGCAGATAATATTCTATTAACTAGTGGAAAACTGAGCAAAACCAGGTCACCAATCTCATAAAGACATTCCGAATTCAAGGATAATCTTTCGTTATTGTTTCGTAAATTAGCATCATCCATGTTTCGTTTTTCTAATTTTGAATAATATATGTTTCATCTTTTCTATTAGATATAGCCAGCATAAATTTGTATACAATAGCGCATTACATCTTATATATGTATTGTATTACATCTTATTATAAGATATAATAGCTTGATTTTTAAATGACAATAAAATTGGGAATAATTTCATTTCGCTGCAATTTAATTACGTTGATATTATATTTTGCATTCTAACTAATCGAAAAGAAAGTATTGCGCGGTATGTGTTTCTTTTCAAGAACATGGAAGTTTAATGAGAAACATACTTATCTAATTGGCAAATAATTAATTCAGTAATTGCAATTTGTGATAAATATGATGCAATTTATTTATAATACATAAAAGAAAGGAAAAAAAGCACAATTCGATTTTCATTAAAAATGTCTGAAATACTGAAAATTGCGTTAGCAATTATTTTCTCTCGCAATTTTAAAAATAAAATTTATTATTTTTTAGATTCTTCGGATTGAAAAAATTTTTATTTGTATTTTATTTTATCAAATTTTATATTAAAAATATAATAATTATAGCCATAGCGCGATAAAAATCTATCTTTAATTATTTTTATTCAACATAATGCAACTGAGAGAATGCAGGCATTA